GGTTGCCCCCAAACAGGGTTGGTGTGCCTTTGTCCTCAGTGTTTGCTCTCCCGCTGCTCCGCCGGGATGGCTTGGCACCCCTTGGGCTACTGCGGGACAAGGTTCCGAGTGGAGCTGGGTGCTGCTCTGTGCAGGGCGCCCCTTCCTCCTCTCCCACTCCTCCTCCACTCCAAGCACAGCTCCGAGTTGACCATGGAAATGCTCCTGAGGTTTCTGCTTGCTCCTCCGTGGGAAGTTCAGCTTTGCCCTCGCCTCCTGATGGAGGGGCTGTAGACAGTCATTGCTTTGCTCGCCCTGTTTCTCCTAGTGCTATGTCCTCTTGCTGATGAAGTCCAACTTCCCAATGGCTTTTCAGAGAGCTCGTGTGAGCCTTGCTTGACATTTCCCTGGAATTAAATAAGCAGGCAGCTTGGTTTACCCTTGGTGGAGTTCGCTGCCAGTGATGTCAAGCTGTGGCACTTCTTAAATTGTTTCACACAATGGAGTGAAATCCAGCCTCACCCTTACCCCCGGGGGGAAATGTGTTAGCAAGGCTAGGACTTTACCCACTTAGAGGATCAAATTGTTTGGATTTTCAGAAAGCCACCAGGGATCTGACCTGCTTTGCCTCTTCTGGATCAGCCTCTGCTGGCAGCATACGACTGTCCCTGCAGCTCAGCAGTTAAACTTTCTGCTCTGTCATGGTTTAAAAGCGTGAATTAGAACATCACCGCAGCTACTACCTGCCTTGGGGACAACACAGGTGTTGATGTCTGACTGCAGAACCCCTGAACTAATGGCCCTGATTCAAACGAGGTGCCCCAGGGTGAATACCCCCTGTAACACAGAGCCGTGCCTTACACGAACTGTCAAAGGAGGTTGGGAGAAGTTGGGAGACTGTCAGATGTTTACTTTAAAATTATTTATACAGGCTTTGTGAAAAGCAAGAGCGAGCTTTTGGCTGATGGCGCAGTGTTTATCAGTACATCCTGTTCAGCTGAATTTTGAAGCTGTTCGTCAGCAATGGGAACTCATTTGCAGGAATCTACCCCATCACAAAGTTGTCTTTAACGTTAAATCAGAGCACGATACTCTGCAGCCCGGCAAGCTTAAGCAGGGTCTCATTTGGGAAGAGCAATTCAGCAGCAGTTCAGTGATTGACCCGGCTAGCATTTGTGGAGAGCAAACATCATCAGCTCTTCTGCAGGTGCCCTCTTGTCTGCATGAACTTCCATCCGTAACGCTTTCACCCTTCGCTTTCACCCTGCACACATAGACCTGGCCCGAGCAAAAGCTGCAATCGTTGTAGAAAGGAGAGACTGAAGTGAATCACGGCTGCGCTGTGCGTGTCACTACGTGAAACATTGCAGTTCCAAAAGTAAACTACAACAATAAAAAGGCTGTTTGTGAAAACGCACTCTATACTTAAGGACAGGTTACTTAGGGAAGAGATGTGGCTACCGTCGCTGCTCTGTACCTCCACTCCTAAGTTGTTCTGGCAGCCTGGCTTAGGGCAGATCACTCTACAAGAAGTGTAGGACCACGACAGAGATTTAAAGGCGCAAGTCGTATAAAACCTGCAGAATAGTTCTGTTGAAGTTCCTTGTGCTTAAATTTACCCAGTTGCAAAGTGGGGATGACAGTTTTCCTGTCTGAAACTGGAAGATGTTTGCTGTCTGGACTTTTATAAGGCTCAGCTAGAAGGTTGCACACATTCAAAAAACTTCTAAGTGACCTGTCCAGTACCACGCGCGCTTGGTGCTGGAAGAGGACGGTGGTACAGCCAGCCTGGAGGATTCGGAACTTGCTTGCTGGTGTTGCCTATCAGTTATCCTGCAGACAAGGAGCGAGGAAGTGGCTTTTTCTGCTGATCAACCCAAGCTCACTCTTGGGATTTTGCAGACAGTGATACTGGTTGCAGATGTACTTTCCCTGCAGATCTATTTGCCCTAATTATGCAAGTAAAACTTTGATTTGCATAGGATGCCTAAGACTGTTCCCGCTCTTGGTTATTGCTTACCGGAATAATGAGCTTGCCAGGAATATTTACTGCCGTGATTACTTATATCAGAGGAGAGCTCGGCTCCTGCCGAACAGCATGGGCAATGGTCCCCGGCGTTGGGAGGGGGGGGCTTGACCTCAGCTGCGTTTGCGCTGCTTGGGGTCAGTTCCTCGTGGACCTTCCCCAGGGTGATCTGCAGCACGACTGCCGTGTCCTCCGCTTTAGAAATGAGAAGCCTGTGTGGAGCAACCTCCCTGGTAAGAGGAGGCCCTGGGCTGCCGTAGCCGGCAGAGCCCACCGGCCCGCCTGGCAGATGGAGGGGTCGAAGGGCAGCAGCGGCCCGAAGGTGAAGCTGCCGCCGCAGGTCGGTGCCAGCACGGCCGCCAGTATGCGATGAGTAATTGGGCAATACACGCTCTCACGGCTCTAATGCAAAAAAACCAACTCCACATCTGCCTGTTTGTCTGTTAGGAAGCTTGTTTCAACGTGCAAGAGTGACCACATGTAGAAACATGTTACTGTGGCTTTTTCTTGCTTCTGCTTCCTTTCTGAGTCCTTTCCAAAGTCCAAAGTTAGGTTGCTGCTATGTGTCTGACCAGGCAATAGAAGCATCAGTGCGTTTTAGGTCATAAAATGTTTGCAGCAGGTCTTTTGAGATACGCGTGTTTTCCATATGTGCAAGGGGAGGAGCTGGGCGAGGAAAAAAACCCAATCTCCAATGAAACAAATTACAGCCCGTTAGTGGGAACCATGGGACAAACAACTGAGTGTCTAAATCATCATTAGTATCACGAATATTATCTAATTACTAACATTTGCCTGAAGTAAAGACTTGGATTTCATGTCACAGCATGGATAGCAAGTTTATTTTGCTGTCAGCTCAAGCCTTCAGAGTATGGAAAAGCAGATACCCAGTGAAAGATACTCCCGAGAAGGTACATGAGTTTTGTCAAAAGTTGTACTGTGACAAACCGAGAGTCAATATGTGTACCCTGATGGTCAGCCTTCTTACAGAGAATTAGGTGGGCTTATTTAAAGGAGCACAAACACTTATAGTAGGAAGTGAAAAGCATCTATGCAGATGTATGAAAATATATTGTTTATTCTAAAATGCTCTTGCATGCTGCAAATCAGATAACGAAAAGAGGAACACAGAATGGCAAAACATTTCAAAATTCTGTACTTTTATCAACGTATTTGGGGCCCCAGATGGTAATCACTTTTTCCCTTGAAAAAAAAAAAAAAAAGAAAAAGCAGGCATATTGAAAAGGGAAAAACTGGGAGAAATACTGTGGGAATGAATCTCTAATCACCTGTCTGCATTTTTATATCAGCTGAAATATCATTGCTCATTAGTGACTTTTGCTGGTACAGAGCTAAAATGACACAGCATAGTTAAATCATGTGGTTAATAATTTCCTCTGGCCCTGGTACAGACGCACATGTTACTTTTGCCCAGAAGAGTGGCAGATTCTGTTTGGAATAGATAGGGTTTTAATTCAAAACAGGAGCATTTCCTAATAGAGAAGCCTGCTGGTTCTGCCTTAGTTCCTCACTGACTACATCCCACAACACCCACTCCCTTCCGTGGGCTCCTGAAACCGTGAACAGATAATGAACTGAAAACATCCCCATCCGAGTGTTCCTACAGTAATGAAAATATTCCTCTCTGTCAGAAGAAAAAGAAAGGAAATCTTGGAATGTTTTCACAGAATCACAGAATGGCAAGGTTGGAAAGGACCTCGGGAGATCATCTAGTCCGACCCTCCTGCTAAAGCAGGTTCGCCTAGAGCATGTTACACAGGACAGCGTCCAGGCGGGCTTTGAATATCTCCAGAGAAGGTTTTGCAGTCTGGGGTATCCAAAACCTTGGAATCTGACCTTAGATTTTATTCGGACCAGCTGAGCACCTTGAATCTCTGGAACTGGTTGAAACTCTCAGAAGATTTTCTCGTGGGAGATTTGGGGCTTGCCAGTACCAGCCACAAGAAGCACTTACCCATCAGAACCGTTGCTCTTTTGTTATTCTTATTTACTTCCAAAGTTCTGGTTTTCAGCAGAAACTGAAAAGGAGGAAATATGTCTTCTACTCTAACACACCAGAGCCTCTGAGAAGTATTTTCCATGTAACCGGTACTAAAAATACGTTCATCAGTTGTCTTTGCTCCTTCAGCAGCTGTCTTTGCTAAAACTTCGTTGCCATCCTTTACAGTTCAGAATCCCTTGACACGCAGAATCCAGTAACCTCTTGGAGGGGATAAGAGAAAATTTGCTGGAGGAGGGACCTGGAGGGGAACGCGTGCTTAGTTTTATCAGTGGTCATTTTCCTTTCTTTGCCCCGTTTGCCCAAGAGGCTTGCCAAAGTTCTCTTTCCAAGGGGGTCTCTATAGCAGTGAGTAACCCTGTAGCAGCTGCTTGCAAGCCTTGCAGATGTGATTCCTTTTTCATATCTGCACAGCGTCTGGAACATACCCTGTACGTGCCTTTAGGAGCCGTGCTAAGGGCCAGTGCTCACGGCCCGGTGGTGTCCCTGGAGGAGGAAGGCTGGCACAATCTGGTGAGATCCAACTAAATGTAAAACCTATACAATGAACAGGCTTTAGGGCCCTCTGCCTGAGGATCTTCTAGTATCAGATCATACTAAGGGAACCAAAAATCAGCTTAGAAGCTCTCTGCTGGAGTTATGTCAACTCTTGCATGCTGGTGAGTAACCCTTTTTATGCTGGCAAGCCAATTGGAAGAGTAATGAAAGTTTGGATAATGGCGTGAAATTGTACAACCTGAGGTTGTTGCCATTGGGAACCTACCTGAAATGTAATAGCTGGCTTTCAGGAAATGAGATTTTCAAGCTCTGTTGGAACCATCGGGGCATTCCCATGCCTGCAGCTCACCTTCCCACCCGAGCCAGCAG